GGGGCTGAGACAAACATGTTATTTGCTCGGTTAGATTGGTTTTTTGGATCAAATGAAGACCTAGAGCCCGGTCCGCCCCAGTTCTTCAATGTTCTTTAGGAAAAATGAAGAACACCGTTAACAATGGAGGGTTTGGGATGGTTTTAGGTGCCCAAGGCCTAAAAGCTACGATTTCATGCCCTAATATGTGAAATATCAAAGAAAACGACAACAAAAGAGAAGTTTGAGGACTTACGAGCGTAGGGCAGAGTCCTTTGCTTTGCACATAGTTTGCATCGTTTCAATTGCATTGCATTTTCATTTGCATTTCTTATACATTGTTTTGTATATATTGCATATCATTTTGCATCCATTTTTCATAATGGCCAATTTAAACTGTCAATTCGTGCATAATGGCCAATTTAAACTGTCAATTCGTGCATAATGGCCAATTTAAACTGTCAATTCGTGCATAATGGCCAATTTAAACTGTCAATTCGTGCATAATGGCCAATTTAAACTGTCAATTCGTGCATAATGGCCAATTTAAACTGTCAATTCGTGCATAATGGCCAATTTAAACTGTCAATTCGTGCATAATGGCCAATTTAAACTGTCAATTCGTGCATAATGGCCAATTTAAACTGTCAATTCGTGCATAATGGCCAATTTAAACTGTCAATTCGTGCATAATGGCCAATTTAAACTGTCAATTCGTGCATAATGGCCAATTTAAACTGTCAATTCGTGCATAATGGCCAATTTAAACTGTCAATTCGTGCATAATGGCCAATTTAAACTGTCAATTCGTGCATAATGGCCAATTTAAACTGTCAATTCGTGCATAATGGCCAATTTAAACGGCTAATTTTCCATCCTGATACCGTTATATGTCCTGCGATTTATAACCGTACTAGTAACCTTTCATAACATACCTGCAAGGAGGGGGCAATTCCTCTGGATTTGGAGGTTTCGGAGCCATATGACAATAGAAAGTGTCCCTCAAATTAGCAGCTGGTGCACTAAACAAATCAAAATTGGTATGATACACCACAACATTCGTGAAATCTCTGGTGTACATTTAATTGACTAAATGAAGCAACATTTTTTTGAAATGGTATTTTTGAATAATTTTTCCAAATAAGAATATATAAAAAATAAAAAATTATTTTTAAAAAAATTGAATTCCAATATTTATTGGAAGCACATGGTATAAGCATGTATGCATTCTCTCCTTATTCACAGAATAGAGCTCTCTGTCTCGTTTCAGTCCCTAAGCCCACCCCAACTCTCTCTCTCTCTCAAACGGAAAAATCCCACCACCTCCAATGTATTCAACCTTTTACTTTTTGTTTTTTATTTTTTTCTCCCTTCTATCACTCATCACTGACATGTCTATGTGGGTATTGTTGTTGTGGGGGTCCTCTGTCATTTCTGCTTTCGAACTCACAGCAATAGTTCTCTTTTCAAACCGTAACAATGATAAATGACTTGGACAGCAGAAATGATAAATGACCCTAACAACCACAATCTCCACAAACACATGTCGAGTGGTAGGAGGAAAAAAAAAAACAAAAAATAAAATTAAAATGTTGACAAATTTTAATACATTGGGGTGGTGGGGTTTTTTCGTTTGAGAGAGAGAGAGAGAGAGTTGGGGTGGGCTTACAGACTGAAACGAGACAGAAAGCTATGTTCTGTGAATAAGGAGAGAATGCATACATGGTTATGCCCTGTGCTTCCAATAAATATTGGAATTCAAGTTTTTTAAAAATAATTTTTTATTTTTTATATATTCTTATTTGGAAAAATTATTCAAAAATACCATTTCAAAAAAATGTTGCTTCATTTAGTCAATTAAATGTACACCAGAGATTTCACGAATGTTGTGGTGTATCATACCAATTTTGATTTGTTTAGTGCACCAGCTGCTAATTTGAGGGACACTTTCTATTGTCATATGGCTCCGAAACCTCCAAATCCAGAGGAATTGCCCCCTCCTTGCAGGTATGTTATGAAAGGTTACTAGTACGGTTATAAATCGCAGGACATATAACGGTATCAGGATGGAAAATTAGCCGTTTAAATTGGCCATTATGCACGAATTGACCGCTTTTTTAATTCTATGATTAAATTTCATAAATTATTTTTACTTCTTGTGACAATTAAGTTGGTCAATTCATGTTATGTTGGTGCCTCTCATTTCAAAAATTATAATTTTATTATTGCATTTCATATCTACAAATAAAAATAATTTATGAGATTTGTATATATAGGATATTTTCTTATATATACTCAAACTGCATATTATGGTTGTTATGAAGAGTCTCCATTAACAATTCATAGTTGACATAGGTGAAGGTTGGGATCTCTATACCCAAACTTTTGTTGTTTTTCACACTCCTAATTATGTGATATGATGAAAATATAAGGGAATAATTTCTCTCCAATATATGATCAAAGGACAATCATGCAAGGGAGTCTCAGTCTAAAAAAATTAAGTTTATCAAAAATTAATAGTCATTTAATTAAATCACATTAAAATATATATATATAGACGGATTATGTTCAAAATCATACTATCCATCCAAGAAGCTGTCCCAAATAGATTATTTGTAAAATTTGGAAAATGTTACATACCCTCTGAAAGTGAGGTGTACGGTGTAGATAATAAAAATAATTTACTTTCTTGCTATGATGATTATGTATTTATTTTATTTTATTTTATTTTTTTCAAGTAAAGTATTTGAGAGGAGGTGTTTACTTCAAGAAAACAGTTATGATAGGACCTATCTTTTCCTCCAGTGTTGATTAGTATAGTTTTGTTGCAGAGATATTCATTTAGTCAATTAAATGTTTTTAATGTTCTATAAATAAAAAATTTAAAAATTTTGTTTAAGAAATTTAAAAAATGATCAAATCATAAAGAATAATATAAGGCGCGCTATTTTATAAATAAATAAATAATAAAAAAAAATTCATAATTATATTATCAATTCACATATATCAAAAGAAATAATAACAACACTATAAAAAATATACAAACATCCACCAAAAAAAAAAAAAAACTTTCAAATCAACTCTCAAAACAAAGGTAGTTAACAGATATATATTTATTTTCAATTTAGTTGGAACTAAAAATACATTGGGAAAAAAAAGTCATATAGAGAAAAAAAAAAATACTCACACAAAAATATAAATTTACAAAAAAAAAATCACAAATAAATAAACTTGAAATAAATTTGGACTATTGGCAAAGAGAGAAAATAATCATTGCATCATTATATTTGGGGAGGAGTTGGCTGGGTTGGAAAAAAGATCAAATATTAAGTATTTTAAAGAGATAATTGTATTAAATTTTTAATTTGATTAGGTTTTTAAAATTTTAGATTTATATTGTTTTCGGAAAAAGGTGAGAGTAAGATTAAGGTGGCTTACCGTATTATGTTGAAGTTTGAAATTTAAAATCATAGATAATTAGCGTCTTTATTATTATTTTTTTTATTTGAATTATTTTGATCAACATTATTTTTGGAAAGAGTAGGTGTGACTTATCATATTGTTTTGAATTTTAAAATTCAAAATTGCCATTAGATCCTTTTTTTTTTTTTTTTTGATCTTTGACTTAAGGAATTAACCAATAGATTTTTTTTTTTATTTCTTTAAAAATTAATAAATTAACAAAGTTAGTTTGGAAGTTTGGAACTTCTACAATTATTGTTCTTAAAAAGACCATATTCCTTATATATATAGATTGGAAGTTTGAAATTTCCACAATCATTATTCTTAAAAAGACTATTTTCCTTATAAACAAAAAAAAAATGGTACAAAATACGGTGATGAAAGTGCTTTTATTTATTTCAAATCAAAAGATTCATTAAAAGGACTTACAATTTGTAAAATATTTCTATCACACCGTTCTTATGAATTTTTTATTTGCAATTAATTTTCATTTAGTAAAATATGTTCTGCATGCTTTGTGTGGAAAATAAATTCAAAAATCAACATGCCTTTGTTAGAAAACTTGCAAAGATATGATTACAAGTTATTTAGGATGATCTAAATAAGTGTAATTTTTTTATTTTTTTATAAAACAATGTGTAGAAAATTAAAAAGGTGATGCGATCCAAAAAAAATAAAATGTTATATTAAGTATCAATCAATCATTTTATTTCACAAAACTATTTATTAAACTAGATAAACATTTTAAGTAAATTAATTCTTTTCATCTCATAAAAAAATTAGACAATTAAAATATCACTAAAAAAATCAAATTTCCAAATGCACACTTAGGCCTCATTTATCAAAAATAAAAATAAAAAAGCCAAAACAATTTCAGCTCGTACAAAAAATATATATATTTCCATTTACTCTACCTCTTGTATTTTTTTTTGTGTAAAAAATTAAAAATTTATTTTAAATATATTATTTTTTATCTCATATTTTAGTTAAAAAAAATTGTAAAAAAAAAAAAAAATCACCTCCCCCTTTATAAAGTGTTTGGAATCACATAAAAAAGTCATATTATCTTTAGTAATTTTTTATTTAGAAGAATGTCAAAAAAAAAAAAATTATATTCACCTCAAGTAAACGAACTCAAAAATTTTATTTTTTTATTTTTGAAAAGTTATATAAGAAAATTTTAAAAGTCAAAATAAGCCAAAAAAAATTCATTATTTTTATTTATATATATTTTTTATAATAATTATTTAATTTTTTGATGCCTTTAAAAGGCTGATTTTTTATTAAAAAAAATTAAAAAGAAAATAACTTAAAGATGAAAATAAATCAAAAACAAAATCAAGCGAACCCCAACAAACATACAATTAGCATGGGCAACGCGAGACAAGTAAAATTGTTTTAAAAAGATAGTTAAAAATAATTTTTTAATTTATTTTAAATATGTAAAAAGTATGAGAAGCAATATAATCTAAATTAATTTAAAAATTAACCATAAATAATGATCGAATAAACAATTAGAGAGAGAAAAGACATTTAGAAATGACAAAATTTATAAAGAAAAACAAGCACGGTCTTAAATTACAAACTCACAGTACAATAATAACAAATAAAATTACCATCTAAAAAAAAAAAATAATAAAAAATAACTCGAAAATACAAAATTTATGAAGAAAAACAAGGACGGCGGAACGCGCAATCCGACGCCGTTCGCCGGTTTTTGTTTGGTTCGCTTTTGCATTTACGATTCTTTTCCTTCTCGCAGTGTAGCCGACGGTGGAACCCCTCCGACGCCGTTCGCGATCGGCTATTGCTATTCTTTCCCTTCTCAGTGAGCGTGATCGATTGGAACGTGGTCGATGACCTCATAACGGTCGGTGAGGACCCAGAAGAAGATTCCAAGGCAGACTCCGTTGAGAAGAAAGAAGAATCAGACTCGACGTTTGAAAACAGCACTATTGCTGTAACTTCGACAGCAGAAATTATGGAGGAACCCCCCAACAACAAGACCCACATAGACAGGTCAGTGATGAGGGACAGGAGGAGCAAAAAAACCAAAAACGACCATTTCCAATACATTGTCGTTTGAGAGAGAGAGAGAGAGAGTTGGGGTGGGCTTCTGACTTCGAGAGCAGAAATGCCAGACGACCCCCCCAACAACAACACCCACATAGGGAGGTCAGTGATCAGGGACAGGAGGGCAAAAAAAACCAAAAGCAACGATTGCCAATACATTGTCGTTTGAGAGAGAGAGAGAGAGAGAGAGAGAGAGAGAGATGGGAGGGACTGAAACGAGTTCCAATAGAGAGAGAGAGAGAGAGTTGGGATTGGGAGGGACTGAAACGAGTTCCAATAAATATTCGAGTTTGAGAAATTATTTCCATTTCACAAATTCGATATTCCTATTTGGACGTTTTCTTCCATAATATTATTGATCTGATCTTTAAATATAACAGCTAAACCCTTATGGCCCATGTCCAGTGGCCAGCCATCCAAGATTCCTAAATGCAATTACTGTGGTGGCCCTCGCTCGAGGGTTTGAATTCAAGGTATGAAATAATGTTCCTTCAATTTTTAGACTGAGGTATTTTGTTCTTTCAGCTTTTGAACAATATTTGATGCTCCTCCCTCAAATGTGTTTTGTTATAGCTGACATGTTTGTTTAACTGGTCAGGTATTCCAAATACACTGAATGTGGTTTCAAATTTCCCATTCCTTGTAATTGGTATTGTAGGGGTTATACTTTGCTTTCATGGGAACTATTTTAGACTGAGGTATTATGTTCTACATGATCCTTATTAAACTGGAGGAGTGAGAAGATCCTTTATAATTATACTTACCGATTACAATAACATCTAAATATATGTTTAGGTTGCAAGGTGAGGTTTGGGGTTGGACGTGTTTTTTCATTGGTGTGGCTGCTGTTGGTATTGGACCCTCTTATTATCATGTCAAGCCAAATGACGCTACTCTTGTGTGGGATTGCTTGCCGGTGAGCTTCGTCTTGCCTAAGCCTCTTTTAAGATGTCCTCAATATTTTTCTGTTTTGACATTTGATCAATAATTGTATAGATGACTATTGCATTCACATCAATCATGGCAATCTTTATAATTGAAAGAATAGATGAGCAAAAGGGAACGGTGTCCATTCTTCCCCTACTCTTGGCAGGTGTTATAAGCATGTTGTATTGGAGGTAAGCATGTGTACCTTTCCTCAATTATAAAGGATTTTGTTTTTCTATTTTAGGTGATGAAGTTCATACTTGTGTATGGGACAAAATACCAGAATGCGACAGTGCCTTTGGATTATATAACATTTTGTTGTAATGCCTTTTGAGTCTTCAATAAATACAAATGTTTTGGTGTTTGAACTTCTCCCAAGGTTCAAATGATTCACATCTAAAGTTAATTTTGCCTAGATATTTGCATGAGCATGACCCTGCAATTCCAAGTAAACATTTATTGTATATGGACTTGTGCATTGTAACCTGCAGGTTTTTTGATGACCTCCACCCATATGCACTGGTTCAGTTTGTTCCTTGCATTGTAATTCCGATAATGGCTATCTTGTTGCCTCCAATGTACACACATTCCACATTCTGGCTTTGGGCTGCAGGTTTGTATATTTCATCATGTGGGCTCTTCTGTTGTTTACTAAATCTGTTAGTTATTTGTGCCATTCTGAGTAACATTTAATTGCATAACATGCAGGATTTTATCTTTTAGCTAAGGTTGAAGAAGCTGCAGATAAACCAATTTATAAATGTACACATCATATTGTCAGTGGGCACACTCTTAAGCATTTGTGTGCTGCAATGGTTCCAGTCTTCTTGACGCTTATGCTTGCAAAGAGGACTACTGAAACAGAGAGGTATTCTTTTTTTTATTCTTCAGCTTTGTTTGACTATTGCACTTGGTTTTGAAGGGATTTTTAATAGGATAATTATGTTTAGTCTCTAATATTTTTGGGCACAATAATTAGGGACATTAAACTACTTAAAGATCATCTTGTTCGAAAACTATTTTTGATTCAATTATATGTTCTTAAAACATATCAAGTTTGTGTGGATCCTCTGTAAAGATCGCCTTTCATTGATCTTAAGATTGAGAGTGAGGGCATAAGACTGACACTCTCTTTTAAAGAAAGATCCCAATATTGGGAAATTCTGATAGTGGGAGATTTTTATTATGGCTTCGTCCTCTTTGAGAAGTAGTACCCCTACACCCTCTTAGGGCATTCATCCCTGCAAAAACTCTCTTGTACGAAAATCAGGAAGGGAATTGGATCCTTTCTTTATATATTCAATTTGATGCATAGACTTTGGTTTGCTGTCATCACTTGCTAACTTCTAAACACAACATGTCAATTGATTGTATCTTAAATGCTTTTTTGTTATAATTTGCTTGAATAATGAATGAACAGCATGAGGTGGAATCCAAATCCAAGTTGGGATTGAACCTCACTGGTGCGATGCATTTGCACCACCCTCTCTCTCTCTCTCTCATGTGCATTATTGTTTCTTCTTGATGCAGGCAAAGTTTGCTCGAGACTCGGAAAATTTCCTGGACCAAAGTTAGAGGGAATGAAGTGAAGGTGAAGAGTTACACTTGTACTTACTCAAATGTACCTGTCGAGGAATCTCCTTAACTAGTACATGCATACTTTCCGAGAAGTTATTTGGTAGTCCTGGGACATGGCCCCAACGCCTCTAAGAGCCGCACAATGACATGGGGTCCTCCCCTAAATGCAGGGAGTTTGCATGATCAGGTGGCTTTTGGAAACATTGGGGCAATGCTCACGAGCACCAAATAAAATTTTCTCCTTTCCCTATAATGAGAATACTTAAATGTTTGACAGGTATACCGCAAAGGCTGTTAACCCATTCACAAAACATTGGTTTGGCGTACAAAAAAGAACTTTTTTTTTTTTGTTTTGTTTCCCTTAAAGAATGTGTACAGAACCCCTTTCCTTCAATGATGTATATAGAAATTTCCTGGACCAAAGTTAGAGGGAATGAAGTGAAGGTGAAGAGTTACACTTGTACTTACTCAAATGTACCTGTCGAGGAATCTCCTTAACTAGTACATGCATACTTTCCGAGAAGTTATTTGGTAGTCCTGGGACATGGCCCCAACGCCTCTAAGAACCGCACAATGACATGGGGTCCTCCCCTAAATGCAGGGAGTTTGCATGATCAGGTGGCTTTTGGAAACATTGGGGCAATGCTCACGAGCACCAAATAAAATTTTCTCCTTTCCCTATAATGAGAATACTTAAATGTTTGACAGGTATACCGCAAAGGCTGTTAACCCATTCACAAAACATTGGTTTGGCGTACAAAAAAGAACTTTTTTTTTTTTGTTTTGTTTCCCTTAAAGAATGTGTACAGAACCCCTTTCCTTCAATGATGTATATAGAAAGTGTTGTGTTTAATGCTTACCAGTGTAGTTTGTGTATCAGATTGTGACATCCTCTGTTTGTTGATATCGGAGGCAAGCAATTGAAAAAAAAAAAAAGGTTGATATCGGAGGCAAGCAATTGAAATAAAAATTGGCGTCATTAGAACTGGAGGTGTAGTAAATAAACCAATCGGCCAAGGCGGCAGCCAATATTTTCAAATTTTAAATATAACCTCCCTACAGCCAACAACACCAACATCTTCTTCAGGAAATTCTTTAGTATTTTTAGAACTGATTTTCACTCGCTTTTGTACAAAATAAAAAAATCCCTTAGTACAAAAGAATTTTACTAAAGTAGGGTCTAGATGGATGGATATATTGCTTTTGATGACTATTTTCTAAAGTAGGGCTTGGAGTAGTTTTACTCCTATTTCTGAAGTGGTTGTTTTCATGACTAAATATTAATGACAAAGTTTTACTGTTTAGTGAAGTCACAATTCTTTATTTATTTATTTTCATATGTGTACAATAACAAAATTTAATTAAGTGATTGTTGAAACATAGTTCATGATGATAATAATCACTTAGTTATAACTCGGTAGCATAAAGGCTCTGCAAGTGATTTTAAGTTAGAATGAGCATATGTTATAAAACTAATCTCAAATAAATTATAAAATTGCTTACAATAAAATATGGGTTTCACGGATATGCGGCACATGAATTATATTATGAGGTTGTGAAGTAAAATAGTGATGGTTTAGACCCATAGAATTTTTTATTTTATGTTATGAAGTTTTAAATAAAATAAACATTGGGATCGGGGGGCAGTTGGCTAGTGCGTAGGTGTCTTAGGTATTCTGAGTTATCCTGAGGTTGAGAGTTCGAGCCTCTCTCACCCCAAATGTTTTTTATTCTTGTCATTAGCTTACTGCTTAATAAAAAATAAATATTTTTTTTTTTTAATAACGAATGACATTATCATCCTATTAAATATTTATTTATTTTTTTTTACAAAGGTTAAGAAAAAAATATTTTATTTAATTTTCATTTTAATGAACTAAATGCAACATAATAATTACACTTGTTTGGATTTTTTTGGTTATGCTTTTTGCTTCTTTTTTTTTTTTATTATAGGAAAATTGTAATTCAGTGTAAGTTTTCAAAATTAATTGTAAATCAGTGATAAAATTTTTCAATTTTCATGATATTGCAATTTGTTTTTGGTTATTAAAGTTGATAAACTTTATCATTGATTTACGATTTGTTTTGAAAACTTACACTAAATTGTAATTTTTTATTTTAATTTTTTCTTTTTATATATCTTCCTAGCCTTTAGTTTTGACACTTTGTAAAAGACCCAAAAACCCAAACTAAAAAGGCTATTAATTGAACAAATGCTTATGAACAAAAATAGAAAACAACAAAAAAATCCAAAAAGATTTGGTTTATATCAAGGGTGGAAGTAATTATTATATTTATTTATTTATTGAACTAGGTTATAGATACATTGTATGTCCTCATTCACCCACCAAATCTCACTATAAAATAACACTTTTATACAAATATTGAAATATTACCTTTCAAATAATAAAAAAATATTATAATGTTTTTATTATAATATTTCATTCAGTTTTCGTTTATATTATAAAACGGTTCCGATTCGTAACTCGAATTTGGAGGCTCGAATTTGGCTTGAATTCGGAGAAGAAGAAGAAGAAGAAAAAAAAGAGAAGGAGAAGAAGAAGTGGACTGGAAGGGGCAACAAAATCGGGTGGATGCGGATGCGGATGCGGCGGCGGGCGGAGGCAGAGGCGGAGGCGGGGCTGCAATGCGACGATCGGCCGACAAGCGACGAGCTGCGACGACGACGACTCTGTTTCTCTCTCGCCTCTGCTCTTCTCCTGTGTTCAACGAAGAAGAAGAAGAAAAGAAAGAAAGAAAGAAAAGGAAGAGAAAGAAAAGGCAGGAAAAAAAAAATCGAAACCCAAAACGACGTCATTTTGAGTTTCGAGCCGCATTTGGGCCACCAAATTCGAGCTACGAGTCATTTTCCATTATAAAAATAACATACCTAGTATAATGTACTCATTAGTTGACAAAAGTCTTAACTCATTTATGTCCTATAATAGATAGAACCCTTTTTTGCTATGAAGATTTATTTTATTTTATTTTTTTTGGATGGGTACTATGAAGATGGTAAAGAATTGACTTTGTAACCGTATGAATGATTAGGAAATAAATGATTACTTGATTATATATGGTAAGAAAAACAATTTTAATAGCATTTCAATGTGTTTGATCATGCACAGTAGCAACTATTGCATACTTTATTAGACTCATTTTAGGGTCTAATTTAATAATTTAAATTGTTCATTTTAGAAGTTATTGAGTAGAATATACCGGTAAAAAATTACGTCAATCGAATATCGTTAGCCTTTTTGTCAAATCACATTTGTATTTAAAAAAAAGAAGAAGATAAATGTAATTTGAAATATAAAAATGCAAATGTGATTTGATGAAAGAGATAACAATAACTGATCAACGTGATTTTTTATAAATATATTCTATTCGATAACTTTTAAAATGTAAATGGTTTAAATTATCGAATTAAGCCATGAAATGAACCTAATAAAGTGTGCAACAGCCAAACTCCATTTCAATAGAGCTATTATGCATTCCCATCTAAAAATTAAATAAAAATAAAACTATTATGCACACTGGCGAAGCCAAGAAATTAAGTTAGAGGGGACATTTATTAATTATAATATTAAAAATTTTAAAAAATATATTTCACATAATTTTTTACGATTAACTTCAAAAAGATAAATGTATATATATATTATTTGTAACCAGTATATTATGGAAAATATAAAAATAAAAAAATAAAAATAAAGAAGAAGAAGAAGTCATGGATATAAGTTTTAAAATAAATTATATAATGATAAAGTAATTTTTTATACAAAATTTCATTAAAAATTCAATATAATAGTAATACCATGTAATCATTGACATGTGATATTACAAACCAATAATAAAGAAACACATAGAGGATGAACTCCAAATGTCAAATATAACTAACAATTCAATAAATTTCATATATTTTCATTGAGATTAATTATAATTGTATGTCAATAATTATAGATATCACCATTGTATTAAAATTTTCATAAATAATAATATGACTTATCGTAATATTTTTATTTTCAATAAAAAAATAACCATTATTATTCTCATAATTTTAAAAATATCATTGATATTTTACTCTAAATAATATTTTATAACTTTTTTATTTAAAATAATTTCTTTATGTTTGAAAAAAAAATTCTTCCAAAATTCAAGAGACACGTGACCTCTCTAGCCTCAGTGTGGCTCCGCCACTGATTTTGCATCATTTTGAACATCTAAATCAAAATTTGTATGTTATCAACAAATATTTGAATTATAACTTTTAATTTAAAAAAAAAAGGGGCAAATTACATATACCTCCCTCGAGATTTAGCTAAATTACAGATATCCTCTTGAGATTTGAAAAATTACAGATACCCCCTAAGATTTATATTTTCATAACAAATTACCTCCTGAAGGTTATATTTTCATAACAAATAACCTTCAGGGAGTATCTGTAATTTCTCAAACCTCAGGAAGGTATCTATAATTTAGCTAAAGCTCGGGAGGGTATATGTAATTTGGCCAAAAAAAAATCTCCTCTATATTTTTATGTAAGTTTCACTTTCACTGAATAAAATTTTAAAAAAGTGTACACAAACAATTTTCACAAGATAAATAGATTACATGTAAACTCCACTTATATAAATCTCACTTTTGACACTTCTCTATGTTTCTTGAAAGAAAAACACTAAGGCCCATTTGTTTTACTAGATGTAAAATAGAGGATATAATATGATGTGAGATTTAGTCAGGATATATAATGAATAGAATATAGGTATTGGATAGTATATCCCCCAAGTCATGTTTGTTGACTTGATATATAAGATTGGATATATGTTATACATGTTTGTTTTACAAAATATATTGTGAGATATAACAAGTAATTTCCAAGATTGCCCTCATAATATTATATTTACATTTCACCTAACTTTTCCTTTTCCCTTTCCAAATCCCTCCTCAAATCCCTCAACCAAACACAGCGTAAGGCGAATTTGTTTTACTGGATATAAAATAGAGGATATAATATGATGTGAGATTTAATCAGGATATATAATGAATAGGATATAGATATTAGATGGTATATCCCCTAAGTCATGTTTGTTGACTTGATATATAAGATTGGATATATGTTATGCATGTTTGTTTTACAAAATATATTGTGAGATATAACAAGTAATTTCCAAGATTGCCCTCATAATATTATATTATATTAAATTAAATTAAATAATATTATATTATATTAAATTCAAAATTTATATTAAATTAAATTAAATTCAATAATATTTGACGGACTAATTCAATTTTTTGGAGCCCATTTAAAGTCAAAATAAATACACGGCATAAACTGGTCTCGACAGAATTATTGCAGATAGTAATACTTTAAGATACAAGTTTTGGGAACTGAGGTTAGAGCCTATTAAAAAGAATAAAAAAGCTCAAAAGCCTTACTGTTGCTGAACCTTGGGCATGTGATTCACATGGGAGCATCTATTTGCACACAATCAATCCTCTATTTACACATCTTTCTTAATATATACATCTAAAAAAATAAAAAATAAAATATTTACTCATTACACACACTCTCGTTCCAATTTTATCCCCAATCCACATACCTTCCGGACCTTCCAGACCGGTGACCACCACACGCCTTTCAGACCGGCGACCACCTCACCGGCGGAGACGCAACACCATCGTTTCCACCTCCCTTCCAGTCGCCATTCCTACCCCTTCCTCCACCCACCGGCGACACTACCGCGACGCCCACCCCATCCCCTCGATCTCCCTCTCTCTCCCCTCGCAGTCGCGAAAAGGGGCTGCAACGGGGTGGAAGCTGAGGGTCGCGAAAAGGGGGCTGTCATTCCCATC